CTACTGCGCATGATGAACCGGCCCCAGCCCCAGAGCGACGCTTCCAGCCCTGGGCTGTGAAGGCTCCCAGACCAGGGGTTTGGGATCCAGCCTCTGAGTGTGACAGCCTGTGTGCCCAACCCCGGGCTTCTGAGGCCTATGACGCTAGCAGACCCAGCATCTCTCCCCATTCCCCAGTTGGGTTCGAGTTCTGGAAGCAACTGTGCGCAGAGCATGGGATCAGCCCCGAGGGCATTGTGGAGGAATTCGCCACGGAGGGCACTGACCGCAAGGACGTCTTTTTCTATCAGGTGCTCCAGCGAGTTGGCCAGGGGGCTTGAAGGGACGGGTAACAATCCCGCTGGGTAGAGGGGCCAGGGCGGCTGGCGTGAGGAGGGAGGGCAGGCAGGAGCCAGAGTTGGGAGGACGGAGGACTGCGCAGGCCTTTGCTGAGTGGGTTCTGTCCTGGACTCCCTTTGACAGGCAGACGATGAGCACTACATCCCCAGGGCTGTGCTGCTGGACCTGGAGCCCCGGGTGATCCACTCCATCCTCAACTCCCCCTACGCCAAGCTCTACAACCCAGAGAACATCTACCTGTCAGAGCACGGAGGAGGAGCTGGCAACAACTGGGCCAGTGGATTCTCCCAGGTATTCAGATGGCCATCCCAGAAACCCTTGATGTTCCCTCCCTTAGGCAAGGCGGGCTCAAGCAGCCTGGGTATATAATTAGACTAAATTAACAATAAAAAGGAGACAAAGGGATCCCCTGACAAGAGGGAAAGCCTGGGAGAGGTTTATGCAAACTGCAAATTACTTGCAAAGTAGCTTTTCTGAGTTGAGGGCCACAGCTGAGGCCGTGCTTGAGGGTGGCAGCAGTGTCCCTGAGTAGCATTCTGCTCTCCAGAATCCTTCTCCTGATCCTCCCTCCCATGTCTCTACGCAGGGGGAGAAAATCCATGAAGATATTTTTGACATCATAGATCGCGAAGCAGATGGAAGTGACAGCCTAGAGGTGAGGTTTTGCCCCACTGAAGAAAAAAACTAAAAGGCTGAAAAGTGCTGGGGAAATGTCAGGCGGTAGCCTGAACAGGCAGTGTGATGGGGACAATTAGAGTCAAAACTCATTTACTGAGCATCTGATGTGAGATATTGAGGTAAATAAAGTCCTTGTCCTCAAGGAGATGCTAATCTGGATGCACCAGCTTCTTAGGTAGGAGTCATCTTTCCCAGGGAGCCTCAGCCTGAATGGACACAGAGGAAGGCTTGAGACATGAGTGTGTTGGGCCTGGGGAGTGAGACAAGCCTGAAGTCTCTTCCCAGGTCCCTGGAGACTGCCTTTCTATCCTTCTGCAGGGCTTTGTGCTGTGTCACTCCATCGCTGGGGGCACGGGTTCTGGCCTGGGCTCCTACCTCCTGGAGCGACTGAATGACAGGTAAAGCCTGCATTAGCTCTGGTTCCCTGGTAATGTCTTTCTTTCTTTTTTTTTTTTTTAATCACTTTTTTCCTCTTGCACTGGAAGACCTGCAACTAGCCTTTGAATCCTAGGTAGGAACAGAGCCTGGCCACCCAGGGAACATCTTGGAAACAGTAACTCCTGGGAGGGGTGTGTACCTAGGGAGAGGGGGGCAACTATAGAGTGTGATGCTTTGGGCTTATCCTTTTTTTTTTCTTCTTCTTTCCTTAATCCTCACTCAAGGATATGCTTATTGATTTTATTTTTTATATGTTTTTATTGATTTCAGAGAGAGGAAGAGATGGAAACATCAATGATGAGAATCATTGATTGGTGGCCTCCTGTAGGCTCCCTACTGGAGATAGAGCCCCAAACCGGGGCATGTGCCCTGACAGGGAATCAAACGGTGACCTTCTGGTTCATGAGTTGATGCTCAATCACTGAGCCACACTGGCTGGCCTAGGCTTATCCTTTTTGGCTCCTGTGCTCTGAAGACTCAGTTCTGCCCTCACCCTTTTGTATAAGGATTTGGAGAGACGTGGAAAGGAATGGCCCCTGTTATCCCCAGAAAAGAGAGCTAGGCAGTGATGGTGCTACCTTCCCCTTTCCTTTTTCCTCACTCTGAGGTACCCCAAGAAGCTGGTGCAGACATACTCAGTGTTCCCCAACCAGGACGAGATGAGCGACGTGGTGGTCCAGCCCTACAACTCGCTGCTCACACTCAAGAGGCTGACCCAGAACGCAGACTGCGTGGTGAGCATAAGAGGAGGAAATGGGGGCTTGGGTTCTCCTCCCAAACCGGGAGACACATGCACCTGCCCTTCCTGAGCCCCAGCAGAGAGAACAGATGACCAGCAAATCCATACCTCGGAGCTCAAATTATGAAATAAGGACCTGATCCCAAGTTGCTCACAATCATTCCACGTGTCCCCCTTATTTAATGCCTACTCATGCTTAAATTGTCAGCACAAAGGTCACTTTGTTAGCATAAACCTCCCTGACCACTCAGTCAAGGTCAAATGCCTTTGTGCATAGTTCAGGCAGTAACTATACTTTTCTGTTGTTTTATATTTAATGTCCATCTCCCTCCACTAGACTGTAGACTGGGTGAAGGGGAAGACCATGCCTGCTTACTCCCTTGGTATCTCCAGAGCCAGGCTCAGTGCATGGCACATGGGGGTAAACAAACATTTGTTGACTGCACTGGATGGTAGAAAGGTGTCTCAGGATGCCCCAGACAGAGTACATTCATTTTAAAATAACACACTTCCTCCTTTTGGACTTTAGAGAGGGGATAAGCTAATAACTTATTTCTCTGCCCCCTTTCTCCTCACAAAGGTGCTGTGACCCTCTTCTGTCCCCCCAGGTGGTGCTGGACAACACTGCCCTGAACCGGATCGCCACAGACCGCCTGCACATCCAGAACCCGTCCTTCTCCCAGATCAATCAGCTGGTGAGCCGTCACTCCTGGACTCTTGGACTGGAACCCCTTCCTACTGGAACACTTGTCTGGGGAAGGGAGCACCCCCCAACCAGGCCAAGACCCATGACATGGCATCCCTGTCCCCAGGTGTCCACCATCATGTCAGCCAGCACCACCACCCTGCGCTACCCTGGCTACATGAACAACGACCTCATCGGCCTCATCGCCTCACTCATTCCCACGCCCCGGCTCCATTTCCTCATGACTGGTTACACGCCCCTCACCACGGACCAGTCGGTAAGAACAGCCCTCAGTGTCTCAGGCCCCACTGGCCCCGGGCCCAGAAACCTCTAACCCAGCCTCTCTCTCCTCCCTGCTGCCCCAGGAGGCTCTGTGCTCAGGGACTGGCACCGACTG